ATAACGGGTGGAGGGCAGTTCTGGAATGTGAGCTTGAGTCTTTGCTCAATGAGCTCATGGCAAAGGGACACTCCTTTTCCACAAAGAAAAATATGAGGACCTGCTTTTTCAAAATTCTCCAAGAACTGGGGGAAAAAAATGATGGAGTGGCGGTGACAGTGGATAGAAAGAAAGCTCTTTCAGTTGCAACAGATAAATAAATAAATTAATAAGCGGTGCCAACTAGCAAGCGATCAACCATAGTCAAATTTCAGTCTCAGAGCAGTTAGCTATAAACTGTTATCAGCTGGAAAGTAAACCTTGTGCACACAAAAGCACTATTTAATTTTCTTCTTGTAATGGTTTTAAATGAAGACCCCCATCACTATGCAGTTAAGCGGTATTCCTTGTCCCCCTGAGGCGCTGATCAGGTCTTTTTAATGTGAGAAAGCTGGCAGCTCAAAACCAGTCAATGGAGCTCCTACAACAAAAGTTCTGAAAAGCTGAATGAATTAGGTTTGTAATTACTGCTGCCACCCCCCTCCAGCTTATCTCTTATTCATTCAATTTATATTATTGTCAAGGAATCTTACTCTCAAAATCATTCCTTTACCGTGTTACCCCGGGCCTTGGGAGAAGTTATGACATGGCATAAATGCTATGCTTGCTCTCAGTCCCCTGTACCTTCCTTATAGGGTTCAGACCAAAATAGGCAGGAGGGGGGAAGGATGTCTTGCACCCCAGTCTACACTGCCACAACTAGAACTCAGCACACTTAGCCTACAGAGACTGACATTTCACGTCATGGATTTGAGTGGCAAAGCAGTAACATGTATCCTGCCTAAATTCAGGGCCTACGTTGGTCTTTGAGATCTTGTGATACTGCTATTCAAAAAAGGCAAAAGATGATAAATAAACACCCTCCCCATACTGCAAATACATAAAAGACCTTGCCAGATACAGTGTGAAAATTAAGATAAATTATGATGCTTTTGATTTTTTTTTTCTTTTTTAAACCCAAAAGAGACCATGAGATAGAAAAAGAGACTATAATTCCCTCCCCTAAGCCCACGAAAGCGCTTTAGGGAAAAGTCAGTTTAGAATGCCAGAGCTCTGTGTGCTTTTCAATCTAAGGGGCTGCTGATGGAGAAGATTCTCCTGAGATTTTCCTACTGTAAAAATGTGTCGGTTTCTAGAAATAAGTACAGCTATTACAACCAAATCTACTAGCAGTCTAAATAATTAATTGAAGCATTGCTCTTTGACCCTTGAAAAGTCCAGTAGGGACACGTTTATAGTAATAATACCTCCGAATGAGCCCTTGTCAAATATTCATTTAGTGGTTAATGTGAGCCATTTTCCCCTGGGACGGTCTGTAATACCAGCTTCCCAGCACTGGCAAAGAAACCTCGCTAATCTACTAGGGCTCAGCAAAATATTTTAACTCTCTTTATTGAAAGTATAGAGGAAGCAGGGGTGAGGAGAGAAAAAAAATTGCAAAGAGAATACACATAAATAATTTCATCCTTTTTGCACATTTCTATTCTGTGTATAAGGTTAATGAAACATTTACATTCACCCCTTTTGACTGAAACTGAAGTGTTCTCATTCAGCAGAATAATATCTGGGCAAAGAAAAAAAAAACAACTATCTTCAGCACCGAGAGATAACATCTCTGGGCAAGTTTATGGGTTCACAGCTTTACTTGCAAAATGTATTATCAAAATTATTATATGCCCAATATTAATCTAGTCCTGAAATTACACATGGAGAACCATTTACTTACATCGAAGGATACAATGGGATGAGTATCATTTTCTTCAGCTGCAGTTTTTCCAAAGCATTTATACTTGTAAACAAACAAAAAATGTTGGCTCTATATTTCAACTACTTGGTTTGGAGATAGGGGGAGATGGGATGGGGAATGGGAACTCCAGACTGTGACAATCATTTAAAGCCAGTTGAACTTCCCAAAATAGTGCTTTTTTGCCCTCTGGCAAAGCATTTGAAACTGCACATTTTACCAAAACACCGCTTTTTAAGTCTGATCCTGTGGACTTAAAAAAAAAGAAAAAAAAAAAAAAAAAAAAGGAAGATTTGTAGATAGTGTATTTATCCTAAGCCTCTATATATATTTTTAATATACTGTATATTTATTTTTCAAATATACATCCTATGTCGTTGATTGGCTCAAATTCCAGGAATATCCTCCCCAATCCCCCAGCATGGTCATTTGGATCTTTATTCAAAGTTTCTTTTATTCGTATGTGTGAGCAAGAACTGGCGAATGTGCTCATTACCACGTGAATAATCCGCATGTGCATTACAATGGCTGGCCGAGCTGGGGGAAATTCTTTTAGAGTCCTTGCATTAATTAGGGGGGAAATGCCTCACTCAGAATTGGGAACTGGAATCTCCTTCCCTTCCCAATACAACAGCACCCTAAAAATGAGGATAAAATAAATAAAAACCTACACATGCTGAAAATGAAGCAATCTAGAATAAATAAAAACACAGATAATGAGATATTCACTACTTCACAGAACCAACACTAGCAAGACTTCAAGAGAGTCTTGCCTGGGCACCAGAGGACGCAAACTGACGGGACGGGCGAACTTAGTGGCCGTGACGGGTATTTTACTCAAGGGTGGAAAAGCACTGCCCGGTTCCAACTTTCCGAAAGTTGTAGCAAGTTGATACGACATACTCTTGAAAGTGTGGGAAGCAGGCGTGCACTTAAGACTGCCCTACTATGCTTCCTGGTCCCTTTGGGTAGAGGAGGACGAGGGAAAGAAGTTGTAAGAAAAAAATAAGACGGCGAAACCCTAAGTCCCCAATTTGGTCACAGTTTCTCGGGCTGCGCCAAAGCGCTGGTTGGTTGGGATGCAGAGGCATCGCTAATTCTAAGACCATAGCGATTTCCTCAACTTTTCCGCGCCCACTGAGGACAACTAAAGCCTTTCTTTACCTTTCCTAGGGCAAAAGAAAACAACAAATCCAAGCTCGTTTCCCCACCCCCGCCCCTCCCCCCACCTCTCTACCACTGCAGTAAAACAGTTAACAGATCAAATGCATTATCATCTCCAAATGTGATTAGACTGGACAAAGTAAAATATCTACCTCAGCGTTGATTGTTTTCTTCTGTAATATGGCTGTTGCCTGGCTTCTCTTTTGCTTGTTATCAGGTGCAGAGATTATCCGATTTGGGGCGACACAGGCTTGGACCCGCGCTGCCAATTTAAGAAATGGGATTCAGGAAGGGGAAGAAAAAAAGAAAACAAATAATAATAATGATAATAATAAACTAGATCCATGATAAGTCAGGGAATTTTGCAAGACGTTCTTTTGCTTTCCCATGCCCCTAAACAGGAAAATGTAGAGGAGAAAGTTTACGAAGTCAAGGAACAAAGAAAGCAAACCACTTGTTTCCTCTCAGATAATAATAGCAGGGCCCGAGTAATCCAAACACCCACCCAGCAGGTAACACTCTGCATGTCTAGTTTACAATTATTCCGATAGGAGAAGCATCATCTTCCCCTATGACCGGGTTTCAAAGGGCCATTGTGCGGTGAAGAAAATGAAAATAAAACCAGCCAACCTGGTTCGATTTGGCTCGATCCCCGATCTGCTAAGCTACATGAAAAATTTCAGAATTGACTCCTCTTTGGCAACAAGTGGCACAAATCAGTCGGAGCACACGTCCCTGTCGCGCTTATCCACGCTGCTTAGAAAAGGAGGGGGTGGATTTACAATATATGTCTCTAGTTCTATTTTAGAAATGACATAAGCATTTCAGTTTTCCCAAAGTCCTGATTAACCATCCAGTCATCTCTCTCTCTCTCTCCTTCACTTTTCTTTTTGTAGTTAACATAAGCACATGTTGCTGGACTGGTCAGGCTAAGGTTTTACCTACTTCTGTTTTCACGGCTGAACATAATATTAGAATTCCCAGCAGTTACATACAATCACAGCGTGATCTAAATAAATGAAAGACTCAAGCATAATTTCAGTGTCCATATTTCAAAAATTTATTTATCTCAAACTGTGCATAATGGAGTAAAAACTTAAGTTGAAAATGTACCTGTTATAAGGATGGTATTAGTTCAAATATATACATGGGTTCTCGGCAGACTGATTCCAGTAATACAGAGCCGAATCTTTTAAAATACAACTACGGAAAATAAAGGGGGAAGGAACCTTAAAATATCACAATAGATTTACAGAAATATTACAAACCATAAGAAAATATTTCAAACACAGTAATTTCATGTTGCTTTTTATCTGAACAAAATGGAAAGGTGGGATCGAACAAAAGCTATTATAAATTACCAATGATGTCAACCTGCATGGCCATTTTTTTTTTTTTTTTTGCTTTTAACAGTAAGTTAAAAATTTTAGTACAATCTAAAACTTTTGCCCTTTTAAACAAGATCACGGAGATGGTTTTGCCAGTACTTATCCTGATTTCTTTCCTTTTGTACAATTTTTAAACAATTAAAATGTCCAAATCTGAATAATTTTCTTCCCTTCATGTTTACAACTGTCCTAAATTTCAGCTGCAGAATCAAAATTCAGCAAGCCGCTCCTTGAAAAATATTGGCAAATTCTCAGCTTATAAACAATGGACATTTTGATTGCCAGGTTTATCTCGATAAATACTGTACAAAAGTTGCTTGCAAATATTAAAACATTTTTTTTCGTCGCTTGGAGACTAGCTCTAAATATTTATTGGTAAAGACTTTTGCAAACTTCCTGCAAAGCTCCTACCATACCACTAGAACTTTTAAAAAGTTTTGCGTAGTTCTCTCTCCTCCAGATCTATACAAGGTCCAATCCCCCGCCCTCCCACCCACCCCCGGGTTTTCTCTGTACAAAAATAGTCCCCCAAAAAGAAGTCCCGGATCTCTCATAAAAGTTTTCTCGTCGGCGTCGCGGGTTCTGCGCGAGTTTGATGGAGTATGCGCCCGCGCTCCACAGCCGTCCTCTGCCGTGGGTGAAGAGATTGCCTTTTCGTTTTCTTCGGAGTGCGCCTGGTTTTTTCCCCTTGCCGTCTCTGCTTCCCCTCCTTCGCACCCCTCCCAATTCCCTCGTTTTTCCTTTGAAAATCTCCCCCTGCAGTTCGCCGTTGAGCCCGCTTCACATGTGCGAGAGGGGCAGTGTGCCGTTGATGGCCGTGCCCGGCACCGGGCCGCTCTGGTAGTGCTGGGACATGTGCAGTCTGCTGGGCGCGGCGGGCTCCGGTACCTCGGCGCCGGGGAGGTACATGCTGATCATGTCCCGGAGGTCCCCGGCCTGGCAGGGCGCCCTGGAATGGGAGGAAGAGGTAACCACGGGGGGGCTGGAGCTGGCCTCGGACTTGACCACCGAGCCCATGGAGCCGAGCGCCATGCCGGGGGTGCCCTGCTGCGAGTAGGACATGCTGTAGGTGGGCGAGCCGTTCATGTAGGTCTGCGAGCTGGTCATGGAGTTGTACTGCAGCGCGCTCACGTCGTAGCGGTGCATGGGTTGCATCTGCGCGGCGCCGTGCGCGTTGAGGCCCGGGTGCTGCGGGTAGCCCAGCTGGTCCTGCATCATGCTGTAGCTGCCGTTGCTCCAGCCGTTCATGTGCGCGTAGCTGTCCATGCGCTGGTTCACGCCCGCGCCCAGGCCGGCGCCCACCCCGACCCCGCTCGCCATGCTGTTGCCGCCGGGGGCCAGCAGCCCTCCGGGCAGCGTGTACTTATCCTTCTTCATGAGCGTCTTGGTTTTCCGCCGGGGCCGGTATTTATAATCCGGGTGCTCCTTCATGTGCAGTGCTCGCAGCCGCTTGGCCTCGTCGATGAACGGCCGCTTCTCCGTCTCAGACAAAAGTTTCCACTCGGCGCCCAGGCGTTTGCTGATCTCGGAGTTGTGCATCTTGGGGTTCTCCTGGGCCATCTTGCGCCGCTGCCCGCGGGACCACACCATGAAGGCGTTCATGGGCCGCTTCACGCGGTCGGGGCTGTTCTTCTGGTTGCCGCCCGCGGCCGCCGCGGTGGGGTTGCCGCCGCCGCCGCCCCCCGAAGTCTGCTGCGGGCCCGGCGGCTTGAGCTCCGTCTCCATCATGTTGTACATGGGGCGCTGCGCGCAGCCCCCGGCGGCCGCAGACCCTCGGCCCGGCCGGGACTTGGGGGCCCCGGGACTTGGGGGCCCCGCGGGCGGGGAGGGGCGAGGAGGAGGGGAGGCGGGCGGGGGCGCCGGGAGCGCAGGGCTCCGGGAGAGGAGCAGACGAGGAGCAATTTGGGGGAGAAGAGAAGCGAGAGAGAGCGAGAGAAGCAAACTGGAATCAGGATTTAAAAAAAAAAAAACCAAAAAAAAAAAAAAAAAAAAAAAAAACCCACAGCCAGGCGCTTCCCTCCTCCTCCGGCCGATCCCGCCGCAGCCGATGATTGTTATTATGATTTTTTGGAAAGGCTTAAGCCCGGGGCTCAAACTTCTCTCCCTTTTTCTTTCTCTCTCCTCTTCTTTCTCTCTCTCAGCCCTAGTCTTAAAGAGGCAGCAAACTACTTTCCCCCTTTTGCAAACACTCTCTTCTCTGCCTTGACAACTCCTGATACTTTTTTGAACAAGTTAATAGACAACCATCCATGTGACGGGGGCTGTCAGGGAATAAATGGGTTTCTCGCGACCAATCAGCGCGCGACGGCTCCTCCACTCCAGCCCAGCCTCGCGGCCCGGTTTTGCATGAAAGGGGGCGGGGCCTGCCGCGCCGCCGGGCCTCGCCGGGGAGGGGAAGGGGGAGGGGAGGCCGACGGAGGGGGAGGGGCGCGGAGGGGGAGGGGGCGGCTCCCGCAGCCCGGCTGCCAGCCACTGAGAAACCTTTGTATCCCCTCTCTCAGCAACAGGTCACACCACGCGCCTTTTCGGAGGAAGTGGGTAAACAGCGCTGAGACTCCGTTTCCCCTCCCCTCGTTAAACTTCGTGCGGATTTACTTTTTTGGTGCAGGGTGCCGAAGTGAGGAAGGGGCGCGGGGTGGGGCCGAGCCAGGTGGGCGGCGCGGGGCGACCGTCCGGGCCGCGCTCCGGGCCGCGGGCGGCTGGCTCT